TTTGATTAACTTGTTTGAAGTAGTTAAAGATCGCCTGTTTGCTTTCTGCAGGTACTTTATTAAGATTTGGTTTCTGGTTAGGATAAATGGCATTAAAACATCTGTACCTCATTGGGAATGATGTGTGCTCCTTGGAGTGCTGTGGGTTACCTGGAAGATCTCTTCCACTTGGAGCTACCCTAGTTCTGCTCCACGGGTGTCCTTGGTCTCGAGGTCTGGTGTATCGATGTAACGTGAACCTGCTGCTTGCCAGGGCTGGAATTGACTGGTGGGTGACTGGAAGCTCCTTCCACTTTTGTCCTGCTCTGATGCACAGAAATATGCCTAAGCAGATACCCAGCCACAAAACCAGCTGGAGTCAGGCAATTACTCATGAGACCCAGAGAGATGATTGCAAGTTTTTGTTTTTAACCTATCCTGGCTGTGAAGTACAAAGGCACCAGTTCATGGCAATGCTCTGCTGGGGTACTGCAGAGACAGGAACGTGTTCAGAAGTATCGGCAAAGAGAGCTAAAACATTTATTAAGACTATTTGACCAAGGGTCATTTCGTATTCATTTCGTTCCAAAGCAAATGAGAAGAAAATTCACAAGTGCTCTTTAAGAACAAGGCTCGTTTCTGAGCACTTGTTAATCTTAAAACAGAATAGGAATGTGGAGTTTCACTTTAAATGGTAAAACCATTTTCTCTCTTCTGGAGCCTGCTTTTTGTAACATGCCCACAGACAGGTGAACACAACCTCAGTTAAGGGAACTCTGGATTTGCACCCTGCCCTTGGTGCTCTCTGAGCCCGGAGGATACTCTCTGTCGCTGCTCTCTCTTCCTAGGCAGCGCTGCTGAAATTAGGCACAGGCAACTATAATATATGGCTGTGCAAAACTCGGAGATGTCAGCCACGGCTGTGCAAAACTCGGAGATGTCGGCCATCGTCTTGCACTGCGTGTTAAATGTGTGTCTGACTTGAAGCGCTGTAGTGCTTTGCTAACCCTGTCTCTCTCTCTCTGCCCTTCGTGCTACAGGTGCAAAGAGCTGAAATATGGCAAGGATCTACCCCAGATCTCCATCATCTTCATCTTCGTGAACGAAGCGCTCTCCGTTATCCTGCGATCAGTGCACAGCGCTGTTAATCATACACCGGCTCACCTCCTGAAGGAGATTATCCTTGTGGATGACAACAGTGATGAAGGTTAGCAGCGCTGGGATCTCGGATCTCCAAAACACCAGGAGGGTGTTTAATTTCTTAAAATTTTGTGGAGGAGTCATGCTTCTTTGGGAGTGAGGATACTACTGGGAGGCACATGGTGTGAGGTGGCGAGTGGACTGGCTGGCACACCAGTTTTCTCCAGCTTCTGTAGCAAAAAAGGAACAGGATCAAACCAAAGTTAAAATCTGAGATAATTATGAATTGAAAGTGCAGCAGAAAGCTAGAAGGCTAAGGAAAGCAGAAAGGCATCTTGCCTTTCTCTTCATGGTAGCATTCAGAAGTCCTGGTTTCAGGTGTATCTTTGTTTCTAATAATAACACTTTGGTTGTTGTAGGGATGCACCTCTAAATATTTACCACGGAGCTGAGGGACAAGAGCCTGGAGCCTAGTGAGCTCTTCTGCTTTGGTCCCTTGTGGTGGTGTTAAACCAGGCATTTTCTCTGTGTGTGCCTCAGTTTCCCTATCTGTAAAATAGTATTGTAGGCTTTATAAATGGCTGGGACCCTGTTGAGGCTCTCTTTCCTCTCATAGTGTGTTTTTGATATGAGAAGGGTAAGTAAAGAGGAAGAGGAGGAAACAAGCACACCCAACCTGCTCAAGCCAGGCCACGACAAAACATGGAGGGGGAATGTTAGTTTTCCCGCATTACACGCAGGTGTCGTTTGGGTCAGCCTGCTGTCGGTCGCTATTGCGGTATCGTCCCTTCTAGCTTTTGATAACACAAAGCTGCATGAGGTGGTTTCATGTGAAAGCATTCTCAGACTCAGATTCTTCCAAGATTTTTTTTTTCCCCAATATACAGTTGGATAATGTCATTAGGGTAGTTAAAAACTTCATGAAGAACAGCAGATAGTTAAGTTACTTTGATTATTGCTGCCTTTATTTGTACTGCATGCTTTTAATATTAATTTGAAAAATAATAGACATGTGCTGTGCATGCTGTGATCAGAAGCAAAGAACAGGGAGGGTGCAGGACGTGGAGAGCTCATTTCCAGAGGGAGCCTGAGAGGTTGCTTGTCTGTCTGCAAAGAGATGAGATGGTATACAGCAAGCTATTCAAGCCTGTAAAAATAGGCACTCAAATACCACAGTAATGAGCACCATAGAAAGCTGATGAATTATAATTACCAGTAAAAGAAACAGGAGGGCAGCTCCTCGGCTGATGGAAATCACAGCAGCTCTAGTGCAAAAGCTAGGATGATGTGCACCAGTGAAGCTGTGGGATTTCAGAGCTGGAACTGTTTGGCAAGTGAAGAGAAAGTGCAGGTGATCTGTTGCTGCAGTATTTAGCATTGCCCAGTACTTAGAGGGTTTGTAATACCAAAATAAGATGCTGCTTCTCCAAATTTTACCCTGTCAATGGGGTGAAGAGAAGAACACTCTTTAAAAGAGAACCCGTTGGTAATAATTATTGAGCTCTACCCATTGCCATGCACAAAGAAACATGTTTCTCAACAACCTCCACCCATCATTCAGTATGCAGCGCTGAGGCTAATACTGTGTCAAGTACCCTGGAGACACTATTGAAAGGCACAGGACAATGAAACGAATCCTTTCAAAAAGCATTGCTCCCCCTACCTGCCCCCCAATAAGCTGAGACTGCAGCTGGCAGTGAGAATGCAGAATGAAATCTCTTTATCTGTCACTGAGATTGCAAGGCACCGTCTTCCCTGGTGGTTTGCTGTGAGGGCTGGGCCGGTGCCGGCGGGGTCTGGTGGTGGGGCTGGATGGTGGCAGCGTGTTGATAGGGTGATGAGATGGGTGGTCAAAGCTTGTAGTGTGTTCAAGCACTTCCAGCCCTGGGCTTTCCTCTTTGTACCTGTTTTTGCAGGCTGCCCAAGCTGCCTGGGCTGTGTTGGAGTGCCGTGTGGCACCCACCTAGCCAGGGAGGCCGATGCATGGAGATGACCCAAATTGAGGGACAAATTCACACATCGTGTGCAGGAGGTGGGAAAATCCCAACCTCCTTGCTCACGTAGGCAATGTGCGGTCTGCATCCCACCAAAAGGATGCATTGATTGCATCGGGATCGTGAGCAGCCAGGGTCCCTAGTGATGGGCCAGGGTTGTGCTGAGGGTTGTACAACAACCAAACACCAAGGTGGTTCTGTCCTCAGAAACCTTGCGATGGAGGTATGCAAGGAGAGTGGGTGGAGGGAACGAGGCGATGCTATTAGCCGGTGGGGTTAGTTGGTAATGTCAGCACTACGCTGCTGAGCCTTTGTAGGCATCATGACAAATGAGATTTTTAAGGAGGGATTTGAAGGCAGATAATGAGGTAACTTGGCAGATGTTTATGGAGAGCTCCTCCCAAGCGTGTAATAATCTAGTTTTCTCATGTAAAAGAAATGATACAAACCAGAACATCTCTCTGGGACCCATGCATTCACTCTGTGCATCGTCAAGGAGCTTCAATGACGGCAAAGAATTATTAATGGCAATAACATTGTCATACAGTTCCCACTAATGGTAGGAAATAATTGTGAGCAGCAATAGCAACATCATATAGTTGGTGCTTTGGATATTACAAAGAAAGTCATCATAATATAGAGATTTGGCTTTTACAGGTAAATAATTACAGGAAAATAGTTTCTCATGAGCTCTAAGATTTAGAGATGAATCCTGGAGGATCAAGCACTGGTGTCGAGCAGAGGATGGGGTTGTGTGCCTGTGACTTCGGTGGCAGTGATTGAACAAGACAAGGAATTACTTCAGCGTCTCTGTGAGCAGCCGTGTGTGTTTGAGGGACAATTTCTATAGGTGTATGGCACGTCGCTGTATGGCCAAAGCCTTTAGGGGCTCAGTTTTATACATTTGAAAGAAGGATGAGCTCCAGAGAGTAGTGGCACAAACCCAGTAGCTGTGTTATAACCTAGTGGGTTACCAGAACCAGCTTCTGGGAAAGTTGCTAAGGGCTCACAGAAGTCCATGGCTGGGGGTTTGTGTGTAGGTTTTGTCGGGGAGCACTTCACACAGCTGTGAAGAGGAAATACAGCTTGTATGGGTAATTGAAGAACAAAGCATGTTCCCAAACCAAATATTAAAAGACACCTGGGACTTCCAGGTCAACTTCAAATTTTAAAATTAGTCCCAGGGACAGAGGTAAGAACCGCATACCCTGCACACCCCGCCTGTTTTTTGCCCTTCAGGTAGACCACTAACCAGTTACACAGACAACGATCAAAACCTTCTGGTGTTTTGTAGTGTTCAGACAAGAACAAACTGCTTCTGAAGACTCATTAGACACTTCTTGCTCTTAGCTTTGTTGTAATGTGGTATGTACAACAACACTGCACAACATAAAAGTCTGCGATGGGAGATTAAAAGTTAATAAACACAGTCATTCTGATTCTTTATATCTGAGCTGTAAATAGATAAAAGATACCGATGTATTGTAATGGGGGTGGGCGGGGAAAATCCCTCCTTGAAGAAAAAAGCTTGGGGAATTATAGTTTGAACCCCCTCCTCCCTTGAGCTGCACATTATACTTCGTAAAGACTTTTTTGGAGGCTGCTTTTGTTTGTGTGTGTTGCAGGGGTGTAATTACAAAGCCAGTGCGCAGGTTGTGTTTCTGAGCGATAACATGTTTCCTAGGTTGTTGGAGGGATGCAACAATGTGCCCCTGAGATGTTACGTTATCTCACAGCTGCACACTTTGTCTGAGTCTGTTGCTTAATCATCACCTGCTTTATTTTTTTTCTTTTTTTTTTTTTGCTGTCTGTCTTTTAGTGTTTTCAATCTGGGATAATATCTCTTTGAAAAGCAAACCTCTCGGTATAGAAGAAAACCTTTGGATAAAAGGCTGCTTAAAGGAGCTGGCTACGTTCAGGGAGACATGCTATGGGTTGTAATTTACCTCGGTGTAACATATTAGCTGTGACTTGATATATCAGTTTCTTGTTTTGCAGCTCATTTCAACAGCAACAACAGCGGTTCGTGCATGCTCTCTCTCCCGGGAGCTAGCTCGCTTGTGTTCGTGTGTGTTTGTGTTTAGAAGACGACTTTAGAATTGCAAGAAGCTGAATCATATCTTAGCTTTTCCTAGGCACTGAGTCCAACCCAAGCACCTAATTATTCCAATTGCTCAAACTAAAGATGGGTTACTTAATTGCAGCTGACCTGGTGCTGTCCCATAGGTCTTCAGGTCCGAGGCTTTCAGGCCCTGCCAGGGCGTGGAGGAGAAGAGCAGCCCTGCTTGGTTTGGCTCTGTTTGGCTTTCACTGAACCAAAGGAACCAGAGGCTGGCAGCCGAACATACCTAGTGGGACCAGCTTTGCCTGTAACCCTGTATGAGAATGGATTCATGCACCTGCTCCCCTTTCCACAGTTTCCTCTTCAATATTTGCAGGCAAAAAGCTTTGGAGACTCACCTGGCTCTGCGTCTCGCTGCAAAAATTCTCATATTCATTTATTGCTTGTTGAAGGGAGTTTCTTTTGTGAGTTCATGCTGCAGAAATCTGACCTGTGATGGCTTTGGTGTTTCAGGCAGGTGAATGCGTGGGACAAGGGAGGGCTGGTGTCTCCCATGGCACTGGAGCACTCTCAGCCCTGACTCCTGTGTCCTCCAGCCTTCAGCATTCCTGATAACAGTGTTGAGCTCTGTGGACTTTTCCCACCCAACTCTGCCTGGCAAACACAACTATGTTTTCTTTAGGGGTGTAGGGGAGGTGCGGTCCATTCCCTAGGACCACCTGAGCATTGTTGTATAAGAAATCTTCTCCTGTTGGTAGTTCCTTGAGCTCCTCTGGTGCCGTTGGTCTTTGTTCCTTTCTTTGTCTGGCAACAGGCAGTTCCCACCTTTAGTTCTGGGAACTTCAACAGAATTTGGGGAGATTTGGGCAGGATTTGTGGTGTGGAGCACTGAACAGTGGATGTTCCTGCAGTTGCTTCTGGACTAATGTCCGTGACGTGGTTACTTTAGTGGCGTCAGGTGGTTCAATTTCTCTGGCAGACCTGCTTCCCAGAAGGCTCATGTAGGTGACAAAATACTTTGGAATAGGTAACATAAGTCATTGCAGCTGGCAGATGGGTTTTTCTAATAGAGCAACAAGTCTTGATGATCTTTGAGGTCTCTTCTACACATAATGATTCTATGATTCTGTTGGATTCTAGTTCCTTAGACCTGCCCTTCAGTGAAGATCAGTGTGGACAGATGGAGAACAAAAGGCAGGACTGAAATTGAACCTGCTGGCATTTTCAGTAGGATTTCTCTCTGCCAATCTTCCCTGGAAGTACCTCGTGCAATGGCAAAGACCAAACGTTCACAAATACCTCCGTGTGCAAATACTGATTTGCAACCTTAATAAACGTGACTTGGGAATGATGTGGGTGTGCTCTGAAGGTTGATCCAGTAGGCTTCCTCAAAGGATGTATGAGTGTCGAGGAGGAAGAGTACCGTAGGGCACAGAAAAGAAAAAGGAGCCTTTAGATTCCATTGCAGTGCTTAGTTTGGATCAAATTACTGGTTGTGTAGCCCACATAGATCCACCCACTGGGATACATCCGGAGTGCATGGGCTAAGTAAGTGGTCCTTTGAGGAAGGATGACGGTATGCTGGGGAGCCACTGCTCTGCTCCATCTTGGCTCCTGACTTTGTCATTGCTTTGCATCCAGAGTTTCAGTTTATGAGCACAGGCTGATTATCCTGCTAAAATTGTCATCGGCTCAGTGTCTAGTGGATGTTCTCGTGTTCAGCAGTGACCTGAAGGGGTGAAAGCACCGCTATGGCCCTGTGCAAGGCAGAGGTGAGGAGAATGGCAGGAAGTTACCTGAACTGCGAGGTGCTTTCTCCCCTGCTGTGGTTTGCATGAAGTCCTGAAAATAGGAGATCCAAAGACCAGGTTGCCAGTTTGTGTGAAAGCTGACTCCCTTAAGCGAGGGTATCTGCTATTGTCCATTAGTGCAAGTCATTTAATTCCTGGCATACTACTTCAGACCTCCCAACCTTCCTGCATAGATACAACAATTGGGGATGAAACATTTCTTAAGTTAGTATGACAGATGAAAAGCTTTGCTGCTACTGACCTTAATGCAACAGCTCTTCGCATCCTCAGCCTGGAGCCATGTGTTCTGACGATGCACGTCAGAGCCGCCGTAAGTTGTTTTCCTGTTACACTAATGGCACTCAATGAAGCGACTGCTGAGTGAAGGAAAACGCAGGGTAAAATAAAGAATGACATCAAATGACTTGGATTGAGATTAGATTTGTGAGTGAGTTATGATTTCCAGCCTGCCAGAATTCACGTGGAGGGAGCTGAGCATGTCTAGTCGTGCAGGATCAGCATCCGTGGGATCCGGGGAGCTCTGACAGTGCGGCTGTGCCAGCGCTGGGGTTTCCACTGATGCTTTTTGACAGGACCACATCAGTCCTGCTCATTGGCAAGGGGAAGCCTGGGCCAAGTATCGCTTGTTACTTGAATGAGAGTTTTGCAGAGCATTCCCAGAGACTGGCGTTTCACTTTTGTTACCTAATACTGGATTTTTGACACCTGCACTTCTGGATGGGCCTGCTGGCTGGATGCCCAGTTGAGTGCCAAGTGTGTATCTCATAATACCAAAATTGCGCTCAGCAGCCGCTGTGCACCATGCCCTCTTCCCGCAGAGCTGCAAACCAACTCAGAAGAGCAAGAAACTGGCAAAGGCGAGCACAGATGTGCAGCCATCCTCTCTGTTAGGGCTTACACAGGCATGTAAGAAAAGGGAATTCTCACCCAAAAGACCTGTGCTGTGGGCTGAGCCAGATTGGGAGGGAAGGAAGGGAGCAAAGCCCAGAAATCTGTGCAAGGTTGTACAGGAAGCCCTTAGTGGAGAGAAGGCCCGAAACCACGTTGCCCATGTCTGGTTAATGCTTTCGTCTCTCTTGAGCGTTTCCCCGCTTGGGTAGCAGCCCATGAGGGATGCTTGTAGTATGCGTCATGGGCAGGAGAGCAGCACTCTGGCCTCTGCTAATGAATGGGGTGGTGGGTTCAAATGATGCTAATCATAAGCACCTTCTCCACCGGCTCTCCGTGGTCACCTCGTGCCCTTTCGCAGGTGCACGGCCGTGCTGTACCGGCCTTCGTACTCTCAGCAGATCAGTTCTTCACCTGCTGGCATCCAGCATCCTTTCAGAAAGGAGAGGACGTGGCTGTGGCTCCCCGGGGAGTTCCTGACGAGCTGCCCGTTACACAGCGTGTTGAGCGTAGGAGTCTCTCAGGCTTCACCCTTCACTGCCTTTGAGACATGATGTTACAATTCTTCCCTGTTTCACTAGAGCTATACTCGCCTTCGAGCTGCTCAAACAATTCCCATGAATATTTTTCCTGTTTTCCTTCAACTGACATTAAAACTCCCAATTTGAAAGTTATTGTAATTGTTCAGTCTAGCCTATAATGCAGTGGTCTGCAGCTTTAATGACTTACCTTCTGACGAAAACGTGGGAGATGCCGGTGCTATGCTTGTGGGGTTTCATCTGTCAAAAAAATCTTGGTCTCTGTCTCCTTAAAATCATTTGGGAGAGTTGTTGTCTCCATAAAATACTGGTTTTTCTTTGAGTGAAATGGAAGTTGCTGAGTTATGTATGTATGTGATGCAGATGCTTTGAATTGAGGAAGGGGCTCATTTGCTTTATTCTTTTTATTCCTGCTTCAGCATAAAAGAGAAATGAGACTTTTGGGAAATCGGTATGTGAGTGGAACCATCCCAGAAAGGCAGTCTGAAGAAAGTACATTTTATGTGCTTGGAAGAAGGCGTGGAATGGAAGGGAACAGATAATCCCTTTTTCTTTGATTTGTCGGGCTAAACCCAGCGGATGGGACTTGCTGTTTACTCTCTTGCTCTCCATTGCCATGTTTCCTTTGTGTAGGAGCCCACGTGTGCTCATAAGTCTCAAGTATTTTACCATGTGGATTATATTGATTTGTGACTTTTTTTTTTCTTTGTTTTCTGAAGAGAGAGTATGCATGAAGGGTAGTAGACTATAATTTGGGATCATGGACCGTATCTTAATTTTCTGGTGTCCTGGAGCCTTATAGGGATAAAAGACATTCTCAGGAACTGCTTTCATGGTGTTAAGAGTTCGTGTTGGTACACAGTGGTGTTGCCTAGCTTTTACAGAGTATTTCTCATCAGTAGATCTTTGTGCATTTAACTGATGCACCAAGAAGTAGAAGGACCAAGGTTTCTGGCAGAGCAGCAGCACTTTTCCAAATTGTTGAAAAAACGTACCCTTTATTGTAACCTTTCATATGCTTCCATGTTCAAAGTCCTGTGTGTCTTTTATACTCAATACTTGTAACTATCAAAAAGTTTAATGCTGGTAATGACTGCAGGCTGACAGATCCATTATATTCTCAGCCATAGTATATATATGGGCTTAGACAACATAATTAAATGATCTGTGGTTTCCAGTGAACAGAAGGTATGTGGTATGAGTATCTTCTGAACAAAGCCAAAATCTCTTTCATCCTATCATAAAAGCAGGGGGAATTTCAACTTTTCTAGTGGCAAAGCATGGAAAACTTACATCAAATGCCAAGACTGTAGTAGTGAGGCTGAGTAAAAAGGATAGTGAAGCTCATACACAGTTTTGATGACCCACTATCAAGTGATCTTTTGCAAATTGGCATTAATTGACCCTCAATGATTATATCCCTCCCAGTGGTGTTCAGAGATTTGTGGCTCCAGTAAGCTATGCTCATATCCATCAATAAAGTGGGATTATTTTAGGTGAAAACGGTTGCACCTTTTCAATGGGTTCTCTGGCACTTCTTCTCTAGAGGAACTGAAGGCGCCGCTAGAAGAATACGTCAATAAACGATACCCAGGCCTCGTGAAGGTGGTGCGGAACCAGAAGAGGGAAGGCCTTATCCGAGCTCGTATTGAAGGCTGGAAAGCTGCCACTGGCCAGATCACTGGATTTTTTGATGCTCATGTGGAGTTCACTGCCGGCTGGTAGGTGCTCAACCTCAAGGTCTTGGTTAGAGTGCGTGCGATGCATTAAACAAGGGATAATCTGTTATTTTTATATGGACTTGTTTGCAAACAAATCCACTGGTTTATTAATCCTCTCTTCCTTCCGTATTGAATGACCACTGATGAGATATGATGGGAAGATACAAGGAAAACCTTTCCTTGCCTTTGTTTTCTGTAATCCTTTTCTATTTCTTCCTTTTACGTGTGTGTACCCCCCTGCCCCCTGCTTATATTTTCAGGTTGATTTCCCATTCCCTTAGCCTTAAGTAAATTCTGTAAGTTTAAAAAAGCCCAGGCAGCAAGGGATTGAAAGAGAACATGTTTCCCGCTTCCTTACCCTTTGCAGCTGGATCCCACTGGGGAAGGCTGACCTCTGGATTGTGTTTTCATCCAGGATGTCCACCCATGCATGACAGCACAGGAATCCGTGTGCAGTTACCCTGCAGATGCACATCACAACTTTTCACGGGGTAACTGTCCGGGTGGCACAGAAGTACGTGAGAGCAGCTGTGTTGCAGCAAACCAAGAGCCTGTCTAGCCTTATGTTGTGACACTAACCTTAGCCAGAAGCCTAGGAAAGCATAAAGGGGCAGGGGTAGCACATAGAATATTCCTTCAGAGTATGCTACTGAAGTCCAACGATTTGCAGATGTGAGGCAGGCATGGCATCTATGTGTTTAGAAACCCTCCCTGCATTTCTCATGAGTTTTTTCCTATTGTCTGTTGAGTCCATCTAAACTTTAAGCATTCACTGCATCCTTGGGCAAAGGTGCTCCACAGCTTAACTACTCGCTGACTCCTTGTTGTCCATCTTGAGCCTGTTTCTTTTGATGGTCTACAGTTCTTGTATGGTAAGAGTCTCCAGGTGATCATTGAGCACCTTCTCTGAGCTGCGCCTCGCTGTACAGTTGGCCCATGTTGCAAAACTGGCCCCTTAGTTAAAGTATTGTCTGATTTAATTGCTACCTTAGTAAAGATATCAGGAAAGCTCAGCTTAAAAACATGGACATTGTGAAAATTAAGAAGTTCAGAATATGGAATTATTATGTAATAATTTTTTTTTAAAACCAGCACACCAGAGAAAACATGGTGTACTAGCTCTGCAGGAAAAGATAAGGTCCAGTTTCAGAGGTTTTAATTCATTTCTACAGTTTAATGCCTCAGTTTGTGAAAATAGTCCTTTCCTTGCGCTGAAAGCTTCAGCTGGTCCATGAATTTGTGTAGTCAGTTGTGTAGGAGAGCACTAAAGCTCCCCAAACCTCCAGGGCTGCAGCTACCTGAGCTCTGGACGCGGCGACTGGCGCCTGTGCTCCGATGGCAGCTCCACACAAGGGACGTGTCCAGGTGGGAAATCCCATCAAGTGGAAGCACTGAAACCTCTTGCAACATCTCCCTTATGGCTGACAAAGCTTGGCAAGCTTTTCAGAAATAACCTTTTAAACTTGGCAGCACAAATGCTTTGCCTCTGTGCGATTTGTGTGCTGATAAAAGCACGGATGAGTGGAAGGGTGAGACAGAGGCCGGTGCTTTGCAATCTGGGGTCACTTGCTGACTCTGTGAGGAGCCTCGTGACAGTCTCCCGTCTCCTCTGGCTGCGTTTTGCTGTGCCTGTGTGAAGCCATGACGCCACTTGTGAATGGGAGAGAGGAATCCATGTTATTCCCTTCTGTTTACTGAATGGTGACAAGAATGCCTGTTTTCTTATCCTCATTTAAGTGCACAAGCTGTACGAAAGCTACAGTGTCCATCTGCAAATTATGGGAGAAATTAACGGTCTCTTGCTGCCCTTTCCATCTTTTTACCACTCAGGGCTGAGCCGGTGCTTTCACGAATTCAGGAAAATCGGAGAAGGGTCATTCTTCCCTCCATAGACAACATCAAGCAGGACAACTTTGAGGTGCAGCGTTACGAGAACTCTGCCCACGGGTACAGCTGGGAGCTGTGGTGCATGTACATCAGCCCCCCCAAGGACTGGTGGGATGCCGGAGACCCCTCACTGCCCATCAGGTACGTTGCAGAGCCTGGGGGCTGCGTGCTCTCCATCAGCGAGGTACAATGAAGGAAAATGCACAAAGGTAAAGTGAGGAAGCCAGTTTAGAAGGATTGGGTATAGTATCATAACACCAGCTAGCTCAGAGAGGCTGTAACACAAGCCAGGAAGGGGTTTTGCTAGGGTGAAGGGATTTGGAAAGGGGGATTATTTGATAACAATATGCAAAAACACTAAGGAAGTATAGGAACTGTGTAGATTTGTATAGTCTTATGTTTAACTGCATATGACAAAGTCGCTTTACCTTAATTACAGCATTAAGTTTTTGCAAATCATAAGAAATGAGGTGATTATTCCTGTGTAATGAACTGAGTGTGAATTTATGAAATACAGCACTGTTTTTTTCTTGAATAAAAAGTACATCTTCTCTCAGGGCAGACTTTGTAAAAACGTATCTTAGGTTGTTCTAACACTTCAGCTTACAGGGTCAGCAGCTCTGAAATGTCGCCCTGGTCCCTCTAGGCTTCAGGTGTGGGACAAACCCATGGGGATAAAACAGAAGCAGGAGGGGAGGGAATAGCTCTGTGTGGGTGGGAGGCTGGCGTTACTCTGTATGCAGAGGTCAAAGATTTTCCCTGGACAGCCCCTAAATATCAGAAGTGATGCTATGATCAGGAGTGGATTTCTGGCCAAGGTGAATAGGATATATTGCTCCTAACTTGGTTAATATGGAGAAGGCTTGTCCTCTGGCATGTAACAGATGCATGTGTGCGAATCCATGCCTGATCTGAATCCTGAACCAAAGTATCTGTGCTTTGGTCAATGATACAATCCCTGGAAGCGGAAATTAGGTCTGTTCCCATTTACACAGAGACCTTTTTTTATTCCTTTGGGATCCCTTGTTCCAGACAGCATATTCAGCCATCAGTAGAGGAATTGACAGTTTATTCTGGACAGGAATCAAGTCTTTGAGGAATAAACAGTTATTTTAACCAAATGCAAGCTGCTGGGCTTGTTAAAGGAGAGGCTGAATGGCTGGTGTATACAGAAGGCGAAGCTGAGGAATTCAAAACCCTTTGCAAGTGAGGTGTGAGCAGAGTGATGCTGGCAGTCCCTACAGCGGCATAACTCCAATGCCCAAAGTGGTGCCTCTGGAGATGATAAAAGTGGACTGTCTCTGTTGGAATAAGCCTTTCTCAGCCAGTGGATGTAAAAGTCAAGAAAGACTTGCAGGGAAGAGCAACCGCTTTTACTAGATTAAATTGCTGTGGTTGGGAGAAAAAGGCAAGCTTTGGCATGAGACAAAAGGCAGGCTTTGGCATTTGACTGCGACAGCAGCCCGGGAGCTTGCTGTGGTTCAAAAACTGTCAGGCAAGGTGCATTGAGGAAACAGGACCCACCCAAATATGACATTTAAATGTATGGCATGACCGTCTGTTCTGTTGTCCTCCAAGAATGTGGTTTTAATTGCCGTTTCAGTGTGCTTAGGGGAGCGATTAGGGAGGGCAAGCTATGGCAGAGACGGATGGGGATGGACAGGCTTCTTTGTGGAAGTTGGTGTTTGGCTGGGGAGATGAGAAGGGAAGGAGACAGGGAATAAGAGTGACCGAGGAGGAGGAGGGGAGCTATGGGGAGCTGAAGGGTTGAATGATTGTGAAGAGGCGGAGTGGGAAAGTCAGTACCTAATGCAGGGAGCATGTTGTTTTTTTAAGATGTAGCCTTGCCCGAGGCTCCCCATCTATGAACCAGTTTACAAAGGTCGCTGCCCAGACCAGGAGTGTAAATGGGGTCACGAGGATGTTGGACACTTACACACAACTCCAGATCCACCAACGCACTTTTTATTCCTTGGTTCAATGCTGAAGGCCAACAGGTACAGCTAAACTTCGAGTGAGTGCTGTCTGGAGGTTTTATGTACGTCTGATCTACTATGATAGAAGTGAAGGGTTTGCTGTGGGAGTTGTCTTCTGTTAGACAGAATGTCCTATAAGGTTGTTCTTGTGCTTGTTTTATCTTAAAAAAAAATCTATGGGTGGTGCTAAAATATGGACGGGGTATGGAGCATCATATTTCTACATTTAAGCAGATTGCAAACAGTTACTGCTTAGGAGGAGCTGGGAGGTGCGAGAGACTTATCAGTCTGCTCTGAGGTTCCTCCAACCTTTCTGCACCAGTTGCATCCCTTTTTTGGAGACAACCTAGGAGCAGATGAAACCCTATGAGCCCCACGGCATCTGCAGCCTTGTAATCCTAAGAGTCTGCCCACTCAGCTCTTGAGCACTGTTGAGTTGAACCACCAATGAAACAGGGCTCAGAGAAGGCTTCCAGAGACACTCAACCGGCAGCAACAAGAATGCATGTTGTGATCATCCGCTTTGACTTCGTTAAAGGCATCTGAACTGTGGATGCTGCTGCTTGAGGCCACGGTGTGTGGGAATCGGGGCTTGGGGGTTAAAGGGAGCCAGGGTGGGAGGGCACTGCTCTGGGAAAGGGCTTCTGTAACAAACCTAGTAGCCTCCCAGCGATGTTAAATAATTAAACAACTTACTAAAATAACATTGTTAACATGCACTGGGGGAAGGATTATGAGAAAGATAAATGGGTAGTGTCCACAACAAAAAGCTAATGAAAAATACTGTCTCATTGCATTATGTTGTGTAACCACATACAGACCAGAAATAAATGACTAGAGTTATTTTTTTGTCATATAATGCTATGAAAACTATGCACTTTATAGCAATATTTGCATGAAAGGGATACCAGTGCAATGCTCCATGTAATTATGCATAGGATTAGAGGAGATTCTGAAATTATAGTTTACAGAGGTACATTAGTTTTTTAGAGACTTTTTAGGATGAAAGAGTGGGAGTGAAGTAAAGCAGTTTATTCCTTTTTTTTTGGTTTTACGCTCTTAGTGCATGGGGATTGTGGCAGCCCCAAGAGAAGTTCCCCTGCCCGTGAGAGATGCTCCAGCGTGCTTGTGAGCCCCGGCGTGTCAGCCCCTACCAAATGCTCGGCAGCAGAGACTGGAGACAGACAGCTGTGTGAATACGTTTGGAGGCAATTTTCTCTCATGGATAATTCACAAGATATAATTATCCAGGCAAAGAGAGCTGATGGCATGAAACCCATCTAAAATATGGCCCAGTCTCAAACTGGCTCCAGGCTCCTGCTTTATCCAATAAGTTCCCCACAAGAAATAGTCTCTCTTAATGCCTAGGGGGGATACTGGTGTAATACCTGGATTCCGTAATACATCTTTTGTATTTTTTTTCCCCATTAACATTTAAAATCCTGATACACAAAGATACCCTCAATCTTAGCACTCAGTTGTGCATGCATTTCACAGCTAGGCTTTCCTTGCCAGGCTTACAGACTTCCTCTCACTGCCTCTGCCCAGAAGATAAAATTCTGATTACAGCATAATGTATCATGTCTAAACTAGTTCTCACAGAAGAGACAGACAGTAAGTGTCATTTGAAACCGTCGTCATATAGATCCTGATCTTCATCAGCATGAGCTCTTGCAGAGATGTTTTGATTTCCTAGTTCAAATGGTGCTAATGTGTGTGTATAAATGAGTACATGCTTGCACTACATATCTGGACATACTTTGCTTTAGGAGATGTAGCCAGGATTTATCCAGTCTGTTGTCATTAATGCTATATATTGATCAGAGTTTTCTGAGAGTCCAGAAAATCTGTGTGTCTACAAAAAAATGGAAGGAAGCAAACGCTTTCTATGTCCTGTGGGAAGTCCAAAAACGATCTTTGGAAATACTGTGAAATTGCAGATGGATGTCTTGATCTGGACTTGAGGTATCCCAGGGTCGGATCCACCTTCTCATGATCTCCAGGAGTGATTCACTTGCCATCTGTCAGAGCGTGAGTTTTTTGGAATTTCTTGGGGTCTGGAGCCTGTCCAATGCTGCAGCACTGGTGGGCTGCAAACCTCAATGCCAGTGGTTTCTTCTGCCTGACTTATTTAGTTCATACTGCATCAGGTTTTGTCAAAAAGCAGCTTTGGAGAAATTGCTGATATCTGGAAGATTTATGGCTAGATGTGCTGATTGCGCTTCAGTTGCAGGACTAGTGATTTATAATTACATATGTGAAATATTGATGGCTCCAGGGGTCTGATTCAGGAAAACAATTAAATGCACTCTTGCATCTGTGTCTCTTCAAGAAGCCAAGCAAGCAGATAGTGCATATTGAGCAGCCTTGAGGACGAGGGACACCTACCTGAACATGGAAACTGGGGTCATTGTGCTTTTCTTCTGCCAGTAGTTCACGTATCCCACCGGAGAGAAAAGAAGCTTGCATCTTTGCTGCTTGGTTGATGAGTTCATTGACAGTGCTGTGACCCTGCTGTTCCCAAACGACAGATTCTTTAGAATATAATGCTTTTCCTGACTTTCTCTTCATATTTTCCACACTCGGCTGGGTGGATCAGTTGAGTCCAAGAGGCAAAAGCACTGCTGAATAGCTCCATTAGTTGGCAACCCTCCGTAATGTGTTGGGTCTGAAGGAGAAGTCCTCGGGTGACTTCAGAGATGATAAAGAAACCTCTTTCCAAGCACGCAGTGCATGGGGTGCCAGCTGGGAACCAGTTAGCAGGTTAAATTGGACTTTGGATGGGGCTTTGCTGCAGCTGTTTTATGTGGTACTTAATCTTTACTGGTGTTGGAAGACAAAAGCTCATTTAATTAGTATAAAGATCACTGTGAGGAGGGAATCTGTTTTGAGAGTTATGGATTGTAAAAGAATAGAAAGGCTGTTAGGTTTGGGGTTTTTGAAAGATGAAAATAATTTGAATTAACCCACCCAATTACCTGTTATCTCAGCCTCACAAATGCTAATGAATTTGTTCTTGCAACATACTTATGAAAGAGCAAACTCTCATCCCAGTTGTGTAAATGATGCAGAGGTCGAGGTGGAAAAAAACAGAGGGGTTTTAGGCTGTTGGATATGACACATGAGTGGAGAGAAGGTGCCTGATTCTACTGCTTAACAAAATGC